TATTATGATGATGTGTTAATTCTATAATCAATAACGTAAGACGTTATGGGTTGTAAAGGTAAAGAAGGCTTTGATTTATAAGAGTTTTGCGTGTGTGTGTGTTGGGGGGGGGGGGGGTCATAAATCTAGTTGACTTCATTTTGTAATAACTTCATCTTTTTCCATAAATCGTTCTCTGCAAGTTTTTTAATTGACTGATGTAATCTGATGGCTAGAATCTAACTGTACGTGAAAATTGTAGAGGTCCTCAATGTTCCTGGACCCGATGTTTAAAGATTCTCAAGATTTGAGTGGCGGATCTCACAAATTCAAATTCCATATCATAAAGCATGTTGAGCCCGAAGTTTATTGACGCAATATACAAACAAGAGGCCCGTGGGCCAAATCGCTTACCTGAGTTATTTGGTTAGTGAAAAGCAGAAATCAGTTTAGCATTGAAAAGTTTAAATATAAAAGAGGCCTCACCCAACCCCAAATGGAGAGGGGGGATAAGTTCTGAACAAATCTACACTCACTGAAGATATTTCCATATTTATATGACTAATCATGGCTTTAAAAGATTTCTTATAAATTTCTCTTATATATTCCATGTAAAACATTCATCTTTTATCGTGGCCCGTCCTACCCCCGGGTGTCATCATTTGAAGAAGCTTGAATCTAAACTACCTGAAAATGCTTAAATATTAATATGACCAGTCATTCCTTTATTTGTTGTTCTTGAGGAGAAGATATTTATGGATTTTTCCTGAATATTCCCATGTAAAACTTAGATCGCTTAACATGGCCCCACACTAGCCCCAAGGGCCATGATTTGAACAATATTGAATCTATACTACCTGAAGATGCTTCCTTATAAATATTACTAATCTTGGCTTTGCTTTTCTTGACAAAAGAATTTTAAAATTTTAAAAGATTTTTTCCTATGTATTCCTATGTTTAACCCATTGTGGCCCCACCCTAGCCCTAGGTGTCATGATTTGAACAAACTTGAATCTACACTATGTAATGGAGCTTTCACATGTTTCATTTTTTGGCCCAGTGGTTATTGAAAAGAAAAAAAAAATAAATGATGCCATTAAATTTTCACAATTTCTTAATGATCTCCCCTTGAAAGTGAGCTTGACACTTCTTGTGAACAAAATTAAATCCCCTTTAACCAAGAATGCCTCGTGGAAAGTTTGGTTGAAAATGGCTCAATGTTTCTTTGACATGAATTCAAAAATGTCGATATAGCCACACATTAAGACGGACGACGGACACTCTTCGATCAGAAAAACTCACTTGAGCCTTCGGCTCAGTTGAGCTTAAAGTAAGGGGCAAATCTAAAAAGCTACAAATGGTAACTTTTTTCCACAGAGTTAGAAGTTGACCACAATCCTATATATTAGGCATGACAATTTGTAACCGGTTAACCGTTTACTCGGTCGGAACGATGGTAATCGGCTGGAAAATCTGTGATCGGTTAATCCAAAAAATTGGGAATTGAAGCATAATTTCGTATATTCAATTAAAATTATTTAAATTTCTGAAATGTTAGCATGTTCACACATCTATTAAAGCTGTTCGGAGATAATTAAGGTTCTCCAAATTGACGTCGAAGGGTAATCGGCCAGTTTGTGAGATGTTAACCGTGAACTGATTATAATGTGTATCTTACCACTTCTATCATTTGCAGTTACCTATCAAATTATATTGTAAATTCAGCATTAAGCACCGACTCAGTTCTGATTATCCTTATATCATCATTTATAATGTTAAATTTGAAATAAAATATATACTAAGACCCTTTTAGTCTTCTTGTTTATCAGTTGAGTATACATGATAAAATATAATTTTTGATATGATTAACCGATTAATGGGTCGGGAGTCCAACGTTAACCGCTTTGTAATTCTGTATTCCATTGTATGGTGTACAATGGAATATTGTACACCATACAATGGTGTACATTTGTCGACTTGTCAGATGTTATTGTCGTCTTGTCAGATAATTATGTCGACTTGTCTGATTTTTTGTGTACTTTTCACTTATTCACGAGTTCAAAAGTTCAACGTAAAAAATGTGCGCATGCCCAGATTAGGCCATCAGTTGACAACATATTTTTTCTGATAGGTCAACATAAGTCTCTGAAAAGTCAACATAAAGATGAAAAGATAAATATAAAGATCTGACAAGACGACATATTATTGGCAAGTCAACATAATTTTCTGACAAGTCGACATGATATTCTATAAGTCAACATCATTATCTGACAAGTCGACATAACATCTGACAAGCCGACCTGTCAGAAAATTATGTCGACTTGTCAGATAATGATGTCGACTTCTCAGAATATTATGTAAACTTATCAGATATTATATAAACTTGTCAGATATTATGATGAAAAGTAGATGTCAGTTAGTGGCTTTAACATGCTGTATAACAAGATAAGCAGTCAAACTGTTAGCATGATTGTAGTAAGCATTGAGCCCTCTACCTAAATGAAATTCATGGCCCCAGGTTAGGAGGTCTGATGCTAGGATGGGCTATGTGGAATATAAATGGATAATGAAAATGCTTTTAAAATCTTCTCCTCTGTTCCTGGGTATTAAACAAACAAACCAAATGCATATTTATGATGAGCAAAGATGACTCTTCAAAATTTGTGAATTCTGTGGCCCCTGGGTCAGGGGAATTGGTGTTAGGGCGGGGCTCTATTGATTGCATAGTGAAAACGCATTAATTCTTTGAAAATCTTCTTCTCTACCTGGGTATTAGTGAAATAAACTAAGTGATTGGTTAAGATAAACAAGGATGTTTCTTCAAAAATTGTGATTTTTATGGCCACAGGGTCGGGGATTCTGGTGTAAGGGCGGGGCTCTATTGATTACATAGTGAAAATGCATTAATTCTTTAAAAATCTTCTTCTCTGGTCCTAGGTATGAAATCAATGAACTATGTACATAGTTATGATGAGGAAGGGTGCCTCTTTCAAATTGTAAAATTCATTGCACTTGGGTCAGGGGTTCTGGTGTAAAGGTGGGGCTCTATTGTTTTTGTTAGTGAAAATGCATTAATCAATTCTTTGAAACTCCTATGCTCCTGGGTATTATGTCAATGTATGCCGATGATCTAAGTACATAGTTATGATGAACAAGGGTGCTTCTTCCAGAATTGTGAATTTCAAGGGGTCAGAGGTAACCGGGGTTGGTTGGTTAATGATTATATACTGAAAATGAATTAATGCTTTGAAATCTGCTCCTTGGTATTAATGAAAATTATTAAATTGTGAAATGTGTGACCCCAGGGTCAGGGGTCCTTTTTGGGTGGGGCACTATTGATTATATAATAGAAATGCATTTTTCTCTTTGTTCCTCTGCTCTGCCTATTAAATTGGGTATTAAGTAATAAAACTAAGCATGCTAAGTGTATAGTTATGATGAGCAATGGTGCCTCTTTCAAAAGTGTGAATTTCATGGCCTCTGGTTTAAAACAAGAACCAAATTCAATTGTTTGAAAGTTGATAAACGATACTCAGGGGACCTATAAGGTCCATGGGCCCCTTGCTTAAGGAATGTGTTATATAACGGGGGGACGCTAAGTTTCCGTACTAATATACAACGTTAGGTGTCCTCTTGTCACTGGATTGATGAACCACATAAGGTAACCTCTTATGTTCATTTCATATGCAACATTAGGTGACCTTTCTTGTAGGCAAATGTAATGTTTTAAAGATACAAGAAAGTACAGGATAAAGGATCGTGAATGTTATCCAGAACATAGAACTGTGTACTCCTATAACAGTATTATACGCTTTGTACCTAATTTTAACCGGGCTAGCTATATAGGTTCCCGACGATTAAACTCAGTTCACTTTGACAGTCAAGGGATCCCGCTCAGATCTCTCCACTGTAAAAAAAAAGAATGTCAAAATATGGGATCCAGGCGTATAGCCAGTCCCTAGAACTATGTACTCTTAAAACTGTGTTATACGGGATTTTTTCAATTTTGACCGGGCTAATAAATAGGTTACCGCTTTTGTAAACTCAATTCCTTTTAAAAGTCAAGGGGTCCCTCCCAGACCCTTCTCCTGTAAAAGATGAAGGTCAAAATATGAGATGCAGGGTGTTAACAAGCCCCTAGAACTATGTACTCTTATAACTGTATTTTACGGAATTTTTCCAATTTTGACCGGGCTAGCTAAATGGGTTACCGCTTTTGTAAACTCAATTTCTTTTTAGAGTAAAGGCGTCTCTCCCAGGCCCTTCTCCTGTAAAAAGATGAAGGTCAAAATATGGGATCTACGGTGTTATCCAGCCCCTAGAACTATGTACTCTTAAAATTGTATAATACGAGATTTTTCCAGTTGTGATCGGGCTAGCTAAATGGGTTACTGCTCTTGTAAACTCAATTCCTTTTGACAGTCAAAGGGTTCCTCCCAGGTGCTTCTCCTGTAAAAAGATGAGGATCAAAATATGGGATCCAGGGTGTTAGACAGCCACTAGAACTATGAACTCTTATAAATGTATTATACGGGATTTTTCCAATTTTGACCGGGCTAGCTAATTAGGTTACCGCTCTCGTAAACTCAATTCATTTTGAGCGTCAAAGGGTCCTTCCCAGACCCTTCTCCTGTAAAAAGATGAAGGTCAAAATGTGGGATCCAGGACTGGGTTGCTCAAAACATTGGTTAATTTTGGCCACTGGTTAAGTTAGCCGATGGTTAAATTCTATATCCACTGGCCAACTAACCACTGGTCAAATATTTGTTGCTCAAAATAAAATTAGCCTCTGGTTAGCTAACCACAAGTTAAATGATTTAACCAGTGGTTAGTATCCCACAATGCTATACATTTGTCCACTTGTCAACTAAAAAAAAATGGCTACCATGGTAAATATCATATGAGTGAAATGTGAGAAGTTATAATGTTACAACTGTATTGAAGAAGTGGAGAAACACCCATAGATGTAACAGTTATCAACACTAAACAAACGGTTTAAGTTACAAAAAGTCAAGAAGCACAGGTTTGGCTAAAAATTTAACTATGCTGTAAATTCAAGTGGAGGATCAATAAGAACATAGAGTTGTATAGAAGAATTAGCACCACGGCGAAGATGGATAGTAGGCTGTGTAGAATAAGACCGATGGTGGGAATCAAAGCCCTCATTGAATGTATAGTGTTCAAGACAATGCAAAGTGACTCGCCATATCTCTTCGGAATAATTCCTATTTAATACTTGGCTATACTTACAAGGTAAGCACATCAACTTGCATCATCTCATTCTTAAAAAATAACTGATTGAACACCTTTACCTGTTATCACAATGTAAACGTCGTCTGCTACGCATCCTGAGGAAATTCGCACTGGCTGCGTTTCTCAATTTAAATAGTTACCTTGCCAGAAGGGACTCATTTCAAACACTTACAAAGAAAAAATAAACTTTCTTCACATCTGTCTTAATAACACCGATAGTTGGTAGTCACTACTATTTGCACTTCTGTAAATAACGGAAATGTCATGGTCGAATACATGTACATAGATAAAGTGAGTTCGTCACTGAGGCATTTCTCTCCGTACCTATACACTGTGTAACTAAAATGCATTAATGCATTATCCAAAGTTTATTACATAAATACCACACCTTTTAATAAGTATCAATATTTAGAGAAAATAAAGGACTGTATATAGATATCTATGAATATCAAATGTGTAAATCATTTTCTATAATTATTTTTATTTATTTATAATCACAGAGGGACCTAGTCAACATGAATGTAAAATCATAGGAAATAGGGGATACACTCTTTATTTAATGCAGCAGGCAATTGCAAGAGGCATCGCTTAACAAAATGGGGCCAATAAAAAATCATTGTCAAGCGAATGATAATTAATACATGTATTGTAAAAAATGATTAAATAAAAAACAAAGCATTTGAAGAGAGGGGGGGGGGGGATGTCGATTCCCAATTTATTTTTTAAATGTATTTTAATAATTTATGTTTGCTTACCAAACTAATATATCAATTTATTTGTATCCGTTATTAAGCTTATATACAAATGACAATTTTTAAATTATTCATTTATACATACATATATTTATCATCTTTTTTTCAGCAGGGGATTGCCACTTGATGAAAGCCTTTGCAACACCAAAAATTTAGCCTTGAAAGAACCCATTCGAAACATTCTTGCAGATGCTGAAGACATGAAATCCTATTATATCTCTGAAAGTGTTGTTATCCCCTCTTCCATATTGCTGCAAAGCCTTTTCTACTTGACTTATAAATGACTGTGTCTTTATTAGTACTAATCAACATTAAATTCGTGATTACAATGTATACAAGACTTTGTTTCTTTTGTTATCCTCCAAAATCTACAAAAAAAACAATAACAAGGTAGCCATGCTTATCCACTGGATAAGAGACTTAACCCACCTCTGTGGAATGGCTAACATTGGCCAATATTTAACCACTGGATAGCATGGTTAACCAGCGGATAAATTCTTAGCAACAGAATTTAACCAAAGGTTAAAAGTTAACCGCTGGATAAGAGATTTAACCAGCGGTTAGCGCTAAACAAGGTTTTGAGCAACCCAGTCCAGGGTGTTAGCCAGCCCCTAGAACTATGTACTCTTATAAATGTATTTTACGGATTTTTTTCCAATTTTGACCGGGCTAGCTAAATGGGTTACCGCTTTGTAATTCAATTTCTTTAGACAATAAAGGGGTCCTTCGCAGACCCTTCTGCTGTAAAAAAAATGAAGGTCAAAATATGGGATCTACGGTGTTATCCAGCCCCTAGAACTATGTACTCTTATAATTGTATTATACGAGATTTTTCCAATTTTGACCGAGCTAGCTAAATGGGTTACCACTCATGTAAACTCAATTCCTTTTGACAGTCAAAGGGTCCTTTCCAGGTGCTTCTCCTGCAAAAAGATGAAGATCAAAATATGGGATCCAGGGTGTTAGACAGCCACTAGAACTATGAACTCTTATAAATGTATTATACGGGATTTTTCCAATTTTGAACGGGCTAGCTAATTAGGTTACCGCTCTCGTAAACTCAATTCCTTTTGAACGTTAAAGGGTCCTTCCCAGACCCTTCTCCTGTAAAAAGATGAAGGTCAAAATATGGGATCCAGGGTGTTAGCCAGCGCCTAGAACTATGTACTCTTAATAATATATTATACGGAATTTTTTCCAATTTTGACCGGGCTAGCTAAATGGGTTCCCGCTCTTGTAAGTTCAATTTCTTTAGACAATAAAGGGATCCTACGCAGACCCTTCTCCTATAAAAAAAAAAATGAAGGTCAAAATATGGGATCTAGGGTGTTATCTAGCCCCTAGAACTATGTACTCTTATAATTGTATTATACCGGATTTTTCCAATTTTGACCGGGCTAGCTAAATGGGTTACCACTCATGTAAACTCTATTCCTTTTGATAGTCAAGGTGTCTCTCCCAGACCCTTCTCCTGTAAAAAGACGATGGTCAAATTATGTGATCCAGGGTGTAAGCCAGCCCCTAGAACTATGTACCCTTTAACTGTATTATATCGGATTTTTAAATTGTTGGCTGGGCTAGCTAAATGGGTTACCGCTCTTGTAAACTCAATTCCTTTTGACAGTCAAGGGGTCCCTCCCAGACCCCTCCTCTGTAAAAATATGAAGGTCTAAATATGGGATCCAGGGTGTTAACCAGCTCCTGGATCAAGGTTTACCTTTTCCATCCATTGCCATCATTTTGTTCAGGCTAGCCACATTGGTTTGGGGTCCTCACTCTTCCTTTTTAAGTGATGTCTTTGATGTGCTACTTTAAAATGTATTATAATGAGTTATTCAAGTTTAAAAAAAAAAAAATATTAGGACACTTACGGTAATTTGAATAGGGAACCGGTAGCAGCATCCGGTTTGCCATTCGATTAGTCAATAGGGAATAGGGAATAACCTTCTAACTTCTGATTGCCTATTTTAAAACGATGATCCAAATTTAATTTCCAGTAGAAAATGCACTTACCCCATACAACATTATCTGTCCTGTAATAGATCCTTATATCATGAATGGTGTAGATTGATTGAAGATTTACCCACCAGGTTGCAGTTCTCTGGCCCCCAGCTGATATTGCACACTGTCCTCCCCATGCACTGAGGTCAGTCCTCAGTCCATCCACAGCCTTACTGGATTGGAATCTACTATCTCCTGGATTATACTGAAATGATTGATGCGTTGGTTTACTCAAAGCTATATTTGCTGAAATAAAAAAAAAAATCCCCATTTAGTATTGGTAATTATTAAATCGTACAACAAGGTAGCATTAAATATGACATGAGAATCAATTCTTAAATTCTGTAATATACATGTATGTAAAGTATATGCTACAATATGCATATCAGAATACCGTTACCGGTGCATCAAACAAGCTAAACTTGATGATTAAAAAAGTTATAAGGCTACATATATTTTCTTAGCTTAATTCTATGACCAAAAAACCCAGATATTTGTATTGTATTTTATAAATAAAATGCGTCTTTCATATTGAACATTCAATAGCCACTTGCCATGATCCATACAAGTTCCGAGTCCAAGTTAGGATTTCAACATCGGAGACCAACGATATATTTTTCAGTATTAGCATATTTGTACATAATTAGCTTTTTTTTTTTAAGGAATAAAAGCAAAATAAGATTTACTTTATGACTCTGAAGTGAACGAAGGAATCAGTGGCATGGTTATTTGTAACTGCTAATCATAAGAATCCTTGCGTGTTAATGATTATAATAGCTCCCTGTCTTCATTGTTCGATGAACGCCGATTTTCAAGATTCTTTCTTCATGAAGTGCAAGGGTGTATATCAATGCTATATCTCCTAATTTATAGCAATATTTTTTTTTAATATTATTTCTGTTTATAAGTTCAATGCGATGGTATCGCTACTAGAAGAAACAATAGTCAAGGAGTCCGAAAAGAAAATTTAATTATTTCATGGTTTTAAGGGAAATAATAGAGTTAAAATCCAATTATGTAAATGTTTGTCAATGTTTTAATGTTCCACGTGCTCACTATTATGGTGTTGTTTACTTACACTTGACCTTATTAGCAAATATAACCTGTCATTTGGTCGTATTTTGGCTGATTTATTTCATACCATTTGTTAGGTCTTTGTTTTTGTACTGAATTGACTACAGATAGTTCCATATACCTTTTCAACACATAGGGCTCACGGCAGGTGTGACATGTCAACAGGGGATGCTTATTCCTCCTAAGCATCTTATCCCATCTCTGGAATTTCCACGGGTCCATGTTTTACGCCCTCTTTACATATTTGTATTGTTTATGGGTTTTTTTCTTTAGATCGATCACTGCTCCTTATCTCTACCTTTTACAATATACACTCATCAGACTCCAATGCTTTCTTTCAACAGGGGAAATCAATCTTCATAGAGTTATGTTGTTTCTGTACGTTATGATAATATTTACTTACAAGAGATTTGAATTATATAACTGCAATTTGAAACAAATGTTCTTGTTCCATTGAAGAAAAGTTACTTATTTCAGACATAATTGTTTAGTTTTTGATTTGTTTGATGATATATACATATGAACAATTTTATTGGTAATAAACATCCACTGATGCCTGAACTGCCATGAGATCAAATATACATATACTTGCAGGATCATCCCAGATAAAACTTTATGGCACACCTTCACGCTAAGTTTGAATCACAAAGTGTGTATCCATTGTCATCCAAATATTCTATTGAAAACTTTGTGAAGCCAAAATGTTTTATCATTGTTTGATATCAGTCAGTATAAATAATTGTTAAAATTAAAATCACGAGTGCTTACCATACCAAAGTGTACATCCTATAATATAGGGTAAAAAATATATTGCAATATTTATCGTCGCCATATCCAGAAAAAAAATAACATATATCAGGAAATAAATTACATTGGCTGTTATCTATCTTCTTTCATATCAACAAAAACTGAATATATATTATCTATCTTAAAATCAACAAAGAAAGTTTACCTTTGTTAGGTTTTTCAACCATTAGCCCGTTCAATTAAATGCCCTACGCCATTATGTACCTCTACCCCTGCGTAAAATTGTTTTTGTTTGTTTGTTTGTTGTTTAACGTTCCTCTCGAGAATTTTTTACTTATATGGAGACGCAAGCACCTGCCGGGTGATGGACTACAAATTTTGACCTATACTCGGAATATTATACAATATTATACAAATAACTTAGGGCTATTTAGCAGTGAGGGATCTTTTTCGTGCCAGCACCTACTGCAACACGGGACCTCGGTTTATACAGTCTCTTCCCAATGACCGGCCTTCACCTCCAGCAGTGGAATTCGAACCTGCGACGTAAGAATCAACGCCTTACACCGCGACTTTAGAGCAAACGCTCTAACCACTACCCCACGCGGGCTACTGTGTAAAATTGAGAAAAGCAGAAAGATTTGCGTTTCATTAAAGAACGCGTCTATACGCCAAACTAAATTTATGTCAAATTTCACCTCTCCTAATGGGTAGGCATATGTGTAAATGTAATTGAAAACTATAAGAGTTGGTCATTCCGAATATTTTTGCTTTAAAAAAAGATCTTGTCAGCTTTTTTATATTTTCGATGCCTTTTCCCATACCTCTTTTCTTTCAAAATTCACAGAGAATAAAAATATCCGATTACATGTATTTATCGCGAATAGTTGACAAAAAATATTTGTATTTCCTCGTGATTATTCTTCCTTCCTTAAACTAAACTAAAACAACAACAACAAAAAAAAATAAATAAATAAATAAATACCTTCTATTATATCACAACTACATTCTGATATCATATTTCCGTTTTTGTTACAAGAGTGCCTTTACCACATTATAAGAAAATATTATCACACGGTTTTTTACTTTTTTTTCTTTTTTGCTGAAAGAAAAAAACTTTTTTTTTTATCATTTAAAAAAAAAATTGGCACTTAACAATTTAATTTGGAATAGCAATCACATCTAAATCAAACTGATGAGGTCAAAGTCTATCATTACTTCCAATACTTTTTTTTTCCTATCCATATTTATGAATACATTTCTCTGCCCAATTTTCTCCGTTAATATACACCATACAAACAACGCATGTTAAGGCTATTCGTATGTAGTTTTCTTAGATTGAGGACTGGTTTGCAGTTGAAGTTTATTGCATAGTTTGCTTTGCTTTATCTACAGGAGATCATCCCTTGGAAAGCGTACAGAGAGTATATTTTTTAATAAATATTTCATTTTTATTATGTTCTGTGCTAACTCACTTCATAGATTAAATGATCATTTTTTCTATTAAAAG